GCACTCTTAGAGGCTCCTGCAGGTTTAACAGAATGGAATTCAGTATTTCTTCCTTCCTCTTTTTTTTTCTTCTTCTTTTTTTTTTTTTTTTTTCCCTCTGGTTACCAGTCTACAGTTCTGTCTTTCTAAAGGTTTTCTTTTAGGTCACCATGTCAGAGGACTCAAGCAAAGAGCTCTATGTCATTCTGGGACTCTAGAACTGGACACAGGACTCCAAGTTGGGTCTCCTGAGAGCAGAGCAGAGGGGAAGACTCACAGACTCACCTCCCCGTTTTGTTCTTTTTGTTGTTTGTTGCGTATTTTTTTCTTTTAGAATTCTAACCCTCATGGCCACTTGGTATTGAGGCTGAGGTTCCCAGAACTATGGGTGCTCCAGATGAGAAAGTTGTGGAGGGAGCAATGTAGATGACTAAGCTCAGGTGGGTGGAGATCTTCAGAAACAATACAGCAGCCAACAATGCTGTCCATGGAGGTCTGATCTGTTACAGCCCCGTGAAGGCAAGGCTTCTGAATAAAAACCTTCCTAGCACTTTTATATGCTGGCTGAATTAGCTTTAAGTTTTTATTTCTTTCAAGTGTTTTGCTGGAAACAGTGGATTATTGTTGTAGGTTCATGTTTTGACAGTACCTGACATTCAAATGCAGCTGATATTGCCTTGGGGTGGGTGCTTTCTCAAAATTAATTTTTCATGAGTCCAGGACATTCATATAGCAATTAAAGAAATAAAGCAAACAGATGCTGACTGCACATCTACTTGGTTGAAGGTCTTCAAAGTGCTGCAGCTTAGTCAAAGTGCAACTTAAGGTTGTGGCTTGCATGATCCTGTTGATCCAGAATACACGGCACCACATTGAGAATTCCTTACACACAGAAGTTGTTTCACCTTTATTGCACTAGAATGGACTCACATGGTAATAAGTGCTCAAATACATACCTGATAAAGTACAGCTTGATACATCCCTGCACACAAGCTCAGACCCAGTAGCTGTCCTTGGACAGAGTTATCTCCATCAAATGCAAGATAACACTTAGCTTCAAAGTATTTGCAAATTAAGCTGAATACTGACAACCTGTTATTTTCTTTGAGCTGAAAGCAGTACCCTCGGATGTTTACTAGAGCCCAGCTAACTTCTGTAAACCTTATAGTTGATCACATATGTGAGATCCAAGCTATAGAGGAGATAGGCATATAGACCAGTGTAACAGAATTTTCAGACCTTACACTCCAAATCACCAAAATTAACCAAATAAATAAATAACTTTCTAGCAAAATTAATTGAGTTCTGGCTTGCCTGGCTGGAAAGGAAGATGATGGAGAAGGTAAGACACTGCTGCTCCAGTGGTGCTTCTCTGCCTCAATTCATGGCCAGCTGGATTGCTAATGAAGCACCAGGTGAGCTGCAATGACTTACAGCTCAGTATTGAAGGGGAAACTGAAACCAATGCCACATTAGCCATCCATGCAGTGTGAGGAGATGGGCAGTTTGCCATTGGTCTGGGCTCCAACAACATGTGATACTCATTCCTTTAATCATCTGGGTTATGATGAAACCCACTATGCTGCACCTGATTTCAAGACTGTTTTTCTGGCAAACCTTATACAACAAGGGTCCTTGAATGCATACAAATTTATCCACACAATTAAAAGAAGAAGTATCACAGAAATGTTATTCAATACTAACAGCTTTTTTTTTCCCCCCCCCAAAGAAACCCACATGTTTTTGTGAGGTAATATTCAATAGTTGACTGTGAACAAGGAAAGGAACAGTCATGCTTTAACAAAAGGGCACAAGGGTGACTCAAATAAATACATGCTCTACCAAGGTTTCCATGCAGCACTCAATGAAGGTCTGATCATAAAGAGATTAAGGTTATAGTTTGGTTTTTTGTTTGTTTGGTTTTTGGTTGGTTGTTGGTTTTTTTTTATTGAGATGACACATAGTGCATCACACAGTTAGTGGGAATAGCTTGGCTTGAAGTTGTGTGTTGCTGAGATAGCTAGAGGGCATCTGCTTTCTGGTCTAGGAGACCATGCCTGTACAGCAGATTACATGGTCAGCCAAGAGTCCCCTTCCCTCACAAGACCGTGTCACTTCAGTCATGAACACTGCCCCTACTATGTACTTCTGCCACTCACACAACCCTTGACAGAAAAGGGAAAGCTCAGCATAGCCATCTGCTACTCTTGGGCTACTCTCCCCTCCGTCCTTCCATATAAGATCTCTGCTTATGAGACTGTGTCCACTCAAACACCTCCTCCATCACTTTTCTTGTAGCTTATGAATACTGTTTCACACTCATATTTAGAGATATGCTTGCTAAAGGGCTTAGTTCCAATATGAGTGGTACAGTCATTTTCTAAAAGGGAAGAGTAGATAGAGTCTAGAGCCTTTGGGAGATGTGGCTATAAGGTATCATGAGAGGAGATGCCAAATTCTTGCTAATTCTGTCAGGGCTTTAAATCTTGGTTTAAAACGTAACAAGGAGAGGAATATAAAAAATAAATCTGTACTGGTTGTGTTGGTGACATTCCTCCCAGAACATTCTCTTCCTGGAAAAGCATTATTCATCTAAACAAAGAAAAAAATCCTTAGTTAAGTGTAAATCAATTTAGATGTTAACTTCTTTTTATTAAAGAGTGTTCTACACAGGAATGCAGAATCTATTCTTATTTGTCTTTTAAGTAAAGACAGCACCCTTATTAGAGAACACTGGCAATTCCAAGTAGGCTTGTCACAACTGGAGCAATAACTCATTTATAGGAGACACTGCAATATCATCAGTCATTGTGTTACTACTGGAGTATTTGCATTTGAATAGGATATTTTTTTTTAAGAAAAAAAAAAATCTTTTATATACATTTTGTGATTCCAGAAGTACTGTCCAGGGTAGAAACTTTCACTTTCCAGTAGGTGTGACAGCTTGGTTGTTTATGTGTGTATGTCAGTTTGTTTATGTTTATGACTTGTACGTCAGTTTCCAGGAGCAGCATATGGGGGAAAAAAACCCACCATCAGTCTTTTTAAATATATATATATATATATACACAAATATTTATTATTGTTACTTTAACAATTTTAATATATTTAAAGTTGTTTAGTTCTTCATTGTTTGTTTTTTAATTACGAAACCATACTAGAAATAGCCTTATATATGCAAGTTCAGGCTGGTTTAAAGTGAGTTCATTTGGTAAGCTTCTCTGAGGGCTGTTGTGGAATAAACATGCTGTTTGTTTTGCAGACTGAGGCCAGGCAGAAATAGATTATTCCTGTAGCTATAGAAGAGATCTCAAAGTGACAGAGTATCAGCCCTCTATGGATATGAACTCTGATTTTAAACAAACATAGTGGGCTTTGTATACATTTTGGGCAGATATAAACTGCCTAGCCAAAGCACCTGAAATGCCAGAGCAGCATCTGCACAGAGGAAAAGTTACTACACTGACTTTAACATTAATTCCTGTTAATTGGGGACCTGCAGCTGGTCAGCCTTGACTTGGTTTGGCTCTTCCCTCCCTCCTTGACCAGTGTTTAGACCTTGCAAGTGTGTAGACGCAGGACTTCTTTATTTTACTGTAGTTATAAAAGCTCTTTTCATATCAGGTCTGCATGAGAAGCTCTTCCTGCCATTGCTGTGCCACTGAGGATGTGAAAGTGGGCTAGTAAAACAGGGGAGCACATATCCATGCCTGCTAAACACCAGCAAAACTGGCTGCCACAGAAACAAGTCATTTTTCTCATTGGGTGATAGAGGGGCCTTGACACCACAAAAAGCTGTACCTCTGCAAAATACCATCCTTTCCACTTGCCCAGCTGACAACAGGTCATGTTCAATAGGACTGACTTCAGTTAAGGTGCAGTGACTTTACTTGAGCAACTCGCCTTGAAGGTTGACGCCAGTTTGGCTGAACGTGCCTGAAGCCACATGCAGCAGAGAGCAGGGTGGGAAAGTGTTTCACAGAACATGGACAGCTTCATGGAAGGACTTCGCACTTTCACTGCTTCACCTTGCGTTGTTCCCACGAGGGGGCTCTACCAGCTCAGGTATCAGCAGCATCAGCCCTTCAGTGAGCAAGCCCCACAGATGCCCATTTACATCCTGCCTGTAGAAAGGGCTTCTAATAGGAAGTCTTACCTCGAAACAAACAAAAATATGCCTGATTTGGTGTGACATGAAACCACGTCTCATGTGTTAATAGTCTTTACAGCATTTTAAATTGCAGGGTGTGAAAATAGAATAGCTGTAAGTATAAAAAGGGTGACCATAATAGTTGTTTCCTCTGGGCTGCTTCCAGTGGAAGCAACAAACATAGGGGGCATGACTGATAGCTGCCATATGATTTGTGTCTGAAACGTGTGTAAATAAATGGTAATGAGGAAATTACTTGGATGCCTTGTTCCTACTCGATCTCTCCTAGCCAAAGACATTTGTACCAGCAGTAGTTTAAGAAAGCCTAGTACAGTCAAGGTTTTTGAGATCAATCAAGTAAGGAAAATACTATTGTATGAGAAAATTATCTTCCTCCAACACAGAACTGAACATAATGAAGAGGAAGGGGCATTTAAATAGTACATACTGATCAAGATAAGACAGATTGGTTTGACCTCTTTATATCTTTTAATACAACCTCCACTAAAATTCTGAAGCGAAAATAACTGCCTAATGATAATCACATGAGTATAAAGAGAATATGCATTCCAGTTCAAAGAAAGATTTCTCCATACACTGCACAAGAAAAATCAAGTGACAAAAATCATTTAAATGTCATTGTACATGTCCCCTGGCACAACAGCCCCTGTCAAATGCAGTGCTTGCTCGCTGCTATTAGTAGAAGCAGCCACTGTGATTAGACTAGCACTGAAAGAAATACAAGTGTAAACAGCCAGAGCAGCAGTGACGTAGGAGGACAATGTATGGAAGCAGCAGTGAAACAGCAACTTCAAAGGCTGCTGCTTACTAGCTGGCAGCAGAGATGTGCTTCTTCCTTGTGGCACTGGGCTCACATAACGACCATGATATCTTCCAATGGCTTTCGGGTCAGCGCAGGCACAGTAGCATCCTTCCTGGGATAGCCAACTGGAAGCAGCAAGAGTAGCTTCTCGTTTGCTGGGCGCTGGAGCAGCTCCCGGAGTTGGGGACCACAGTTGAGGGGTGTGGAGGTCACAGTGTAGAGACCTGCATTCTGCAGCAAGAGAAACAGCAAGAAAGGGGGACAAAGGTCTGTGCTCTGTATCTGTATCCATTACCCTCACCAGACCTGTACACATTCTCCTACTGAGTAGCCCAGAAATGCTGCTTCATTAGACTCTTCTGCAAGTTTTGGAACAACTGATTTACTAGTAGCCTCAACAGTACCACAAAAGACACCTACTTTGCTCTACAGAAAAGTACACAGCAACAGCAAAGGCTAATGGAAATAGCCTTACTCTGCCTGATGTGTCTGTATATTGCACAGCAGGAGCCTGCCTGCAGTGCTCAGTGTAATGGGAGACCCATGGCTACAGTGAAGTGGAGGTGCAGTTGTGGAGATATCACTGGGATATCATCTCATGGGGTTCATCTGGCTTGTACAAAGAAATGTTTCACTTCTTACCCCCATACACCTGACAGAAGATGTCTTACAGCTTTGTGACCATTTGTTCCTGTAGAGCTGTACTTTGCAGGGATAGGGAGTACATGTTCTTCCTCAGAGTTTGTCATATGAATCTGTTGCCATGTCTCACAATGGCCAATGTTTGGGCTTACATCATAACTTCAACATAAGTCTATGCATCGCTCCTCCTCTCATACAAAATCTCATTAAAAAACTAAACAATCTGACAAATACTAAAGAGATGACCCTATCCTAAATACAACCCTGAGGTGCTTTCTGAGAATTGTGAATGTGGATTTAAGTCTCTCTATGTAAAGCAAGCATTTTGGGAGGCTTTGAGGTATAAAAGTCAGCCAAGGAGAAGTGCTCAGGCAATGAGCAACAACTCTCATTTTAAGTAACCTACATGGCCTCTGAAGACTAGAAGGGCTACAGTAGTGGTGCTGAATGTTATGAGTCCAGAATATTGTGTCCTTTAACACTGTCAAATAATTTCTAAGAGTTGGGAAAGAGACAGGTGGTAGGGAGAAGTTTCACCTGATGGTGAGATGGCTCAGGGGAAAGTAGTCTTTTCACTCCTACTGCTTCTGGCCAAGGCCTTAGTGACAGTGCTGATTCTGCTCCATTCCCTGTGCATCCCCTTTGCTCTCAGCTCCATGGAGGGAAAACACAGAGCCCTGTGCAGCTGCAGAGCAGCAACACCTCAGAAATGTGCTTCTGCACTGCTCATTTATCAGATTTCCCATGCTGAAGATTCTCCTAAGGAATAGCATCATGGGCAGTGAAATGTCACTCAAAACAGTGGAGAAGAAGTGGCAGTTCCTGGTAGGAAACTGGCCTAACGTAAGAGGTGGCATCTTGTCACTATCCTGCTGACAGGCCAAGTTAGCAATCGGGATGGCTTCAGTATTTAAACATTCATGCAAATACATCAGATATAACAAACCGACCTGAGCACTGAGAAACCACAGAGAAAATCCAGCTGGCTGGTGTGAAACACCCTGAGCTTTAGAAATCAGCTCACTTTGAGAAACACCTCAGCAAGACTGATTGAAATTGTACAGGCTGATTTGTGAAATATGTCCCTGATTTTTTTTCCAGCCTTGTCTACTAAAAATGACTTGGGGTCAACCCACGTTTTAGGGCTTACTGAAGAGAAGGGGCTAGTGTGCACTGTACAGCCATGCCTGGGCCATCTGCAGACCCTGTCAGCACAAGGCAGAAAGCACAGGGGCTGAAGCCTGTGCCAGGAGAAGAGTGACAGTACACTGCACTACTTTTTTTTTTTCTTGTTAACCAGTATTGAGGGTAGGAATCACTTTCTCGATGTAGGCCTGTGCAGAATGACTTTAAAACTCAAAATTAAGACATATTGCCATGAGTTGTAGTAATCCAGGGGACCAATAATGTTAAAATCTAAATTGAGGTCCACCCTCAGAACAGTGGGTATGTAACCTGAACCAATACATTGACTCCCAGTGAGCCAGCTGTCAATGTACCTGCAGTGCAGCAAGCAGGATACCACAGGCAATAGAAACACTGATTTCATTGTAGTAGTGGGTCTTCTTTTTGCCATTTGGAAGTTGTCCATATACCTGCTTGAAAATGAGGATCAGATAGGGAGCAGTGTCCAAGTACTCTTTGATCCAGTTAGTTCTGCAAAAGAATAATGTTTAAGACATTTCATATGCAACCTTTTTACTTTCCTGTAAGTCACATGTACTGTTTGCAAAGGGGCACTAAAGGAACTTGACAATTATAGCAGTAGACTGGAGTTTAGAACATGTATTGCAAAGGATTAAGTATTATCAGCTTAAACAGAAACATTAAAAAAAAAGCTTGAATAGAGTTCTCAATTTTAACAGATTCAGCTGAGGAGTTGATGCGCTCACTCTGAGGCATGGAACTGCATAAAAAATGGGAGGTAGCTCTTGGCCTCTTATCTTTGAACTGACCTCATGAACATTTGCTCTTGAGATTATTTAATTCCTAGAATTTTGCAGACTTGCAGCTCCACCTGTTACCAGCAGTGCCAACTTTTTTATGATTGCAGGTAAAACTGCTGGCAGAAAAGTTTAAAACTTCTTTGTCTAAGGTATAAACCTAAATGTAGTCTCACAGCAAAAAAATGTTATTCTGCTTCTGGGTATTTCAGCCCTGTTAGAATTCATTCAATTCCCAGTTTCCTGAACGACAATATATAGAATTATGATGTAGATAAGAAAATGCATGCTTTCTACTGTTTTCACTCAAAATACAAAAAACCCACTATATTTCAGTTGATTTTAAGCATCTGATAAATAATAACATTATAAAACAAGAAGGGCAAATTAACCTATAAAGCTTTGCACATACTCTTCATTTGGCAAGCCAAGACTCAGTAGACATCCTCCCATTGTGTGAAGTTAAGCAAGACAGTCAGAGTTTGGAGGGCATTTGGAACAATTAAATATTGTGTAATTCAGCACTCACATAGGGACAAGCCTTGGGGCTACCACAGTCAGCAGCAAAACTCCCAATGGCTTTGGGAGCTTCATTGTTTGGCAAACAAAGGGAAAAAACTGGGACAAGAGTTATGGAAACAGAGGTTACATAGAAAAAAAAAATAATAATAATGAAGCCAAATGCTTGGAAAACTTTCAGGATGGAGAGTATATATTCTGTTTTACCTGAGACCATTTTATGAACCAGCCACCAAGGTGCAATTCTACACATAATTTTAAGGTTTTCTTTCCAAAACTGAATCTTGGAAATATATTAAATGCAAAAGGAGGAGAAAGAAAATGAAAAGGACACTAGAAGAAATCAAGACAAGTTTATTTTATCACTTCAGTTTTCTAGACTGTGGTGCTTTCAGTAAGATTCCCATCATCTTGAGGATCAAGACAAAACCATGCAAAAAGAAAGGGTGCGCTGAACATTTCAGTCACCAATTTCATGCTTCTGGTAAGACTGAAGTACACAGGTAGAGGGAGTTTTTCTTTCGTGTTAGGTGCTGCATCTCACCTGGTCCTTAATACAAGGCAGCCAGAATTAACATTTACAGAGAGTAAATTTTTTTTTTTCTGCTTCTGCTGGGTGGGAACTCCATCTGCTCAGACAGGAGTTCCTTCTTCCCAGCTGACCCTGGCAACTTTCTGTCTGGGGCAGTCTCTGACCCCACCTTTCTTCATTTTCTGTGATAAGGAATTGGGAAATATTTACAGCTGAGGAGATTTTAAGGAGCACCAATTTGAAAGAACAATTTTAAAACAAGGTTTTTTAAAATTGAGCTGAATATTTTCGGTTTGTTTTTCTTTTCTTCCTGAAAATAAGGGAGGGGGGAGGGGAAATGAAGAAAAAAAATATCCTGACTAAAACTTCCCAATATAGTCTTTCCTAGACCATAACACAGCTCCTTTCAAATGAGAACCTTAGCCAGATGACTTTTTCATACCTCAGTCTTTTGAGGTCATTAACCCATCTGTCTCCCATCCTTTTTTTGTAGTTGATTTCTTCTTCTTCTTCTACGATCTCACGAATCTTGTGTTTTAAATATGGATCTTGAACGACCACAAAGGTCCAGGGCTCAGTGTGTGCTCCACTGGGTGAAGTGCCTTCATACAAAAACAGGGAAAGACAAAAATCTAGTTGGCACAATGCTTAAGGAGGGTGTGCTGTGAGAGGTATTGGCCTTTCTGTGGGTTTTCAGACTGGCCAACAGAACAACAGGAAAGTAAGTTCATGAGATCAGAAGAAAAGGATTGAGAAGTTCTGGCAGACATCCTCTGTTCATTTGTTTCTCAAAAAATGTGAAGTCCCATTCAATGCCAGAGGTTAGTCCTTTCATACAGCCATCTTACAGGAAACAAAAACTAGGGATTTGAAAAATCCCTTTGAAGTTCTCATGATGAGGCAGTATTATGGTGCAATATATGCACAAAGTAATGTCAACGCAAAGAAACACAGTCTGAATATACAACCAATTTTGAAATGTGGCTTTAGCAGAAGGGTAAAACTAATGGCTTTCAGGGAAACAAGGCTAAGTGACCACCCACAGGATTCTATTGCTGACTGTCAAAGATGAGGAGCTGCACAATGCAGACATCTGCCATATAGCATACAAGTTTGCATTTGTTGTCCCAGAGACAGCTGGTGCACATATTAAGTCTGCACTTGCTTATTCAGCCTTGATTATTACACATCAATACCACTGGACACTAATACCACTGGTGAATATTTTAATTGCCTAGCAGATGAAAGCCAGACATTGAAGAATACTGTTATCTGTACAAAATTATAGAGAAATAGGTTAAGGAAACTGTTCAGGTCTCTTTAGCCCCTCAATACACATTTTAAAAATATCTGAGGATCTTGACCACATACTGTATTTGCTTATCTAAGTACTGAATTCAGTTTAAGAAGTGTTGAATAAGCAGCTTGAACTACCTTTTATATGAGTATGTGTTCATATCACTAACAGTGCCTCTCCTCAGGTTCGGATCAGAACTTAAAGACATTTATATTTTGGTTTGTTTTCTTTTCCTCCACACAGCTCAAAGCTTTCAGGGTTACAAACTACTTCATCTGCACTCCAGGCTTGTTCACTTTGCTGCATTTGCCAAAACATTCTCAGTGTTTTAATGACTAGCAGCTAATTACAGGAAGATGGAGATTCATTACAGTGAAGTAACAAAGATGCTCACAGTTTTTAAAGGGAAAACAATTCACATCCGTTGCTCAGAATCTCTGTATTATTTATCCTGCTAGAGGCTACTGAACTTTTCTCTCAAGCAGCTTATTAATATTTCCTATACTAACAGCAAATCTTTATAGCACTGCAATACTAAGGGTCAAAAGCACTCCTGACTAAAGTCAATGTTATGAAAGCAGAGAGGAGATCAGGCCAGGACATTACAGTAATGATTTGAAACACAGAAGTTCTCAAAAAAAAAATAAAAAAAATTTTTGACACTCAGTCAAATAATCTCAGTCAGGGTCCTCAGCATAACTCTCAAGTCATATACAATGGAAATCTGCTACTGATGCTGAAAGGACTGGAAAAGTGGGTTTTTTTGTTCTAGCTGAACTTTTTTTCTCATAATAAACACCAGCCATTTATGTCAACTGAAATATTTCACATGACTGGGATAATTTCATCACATTTTTTGGTGGGAAAAAAACCCCAGTAAACAAAAGCCACACAGGATAAATGCCATCATAATAAAGGGAATTTTAAAACATGTGAAGAACACATAGTTTGACATTTTTGAGAGAAAACAGTTCAATATTTCCATTTAAAAGATGTTTCACTGACTGTATATGAATTTTATTTTAAATAAGATCTTTTAAATCTTGAAAATGAAATGTTCTATTTCATGCTGTTGAAATGTGTCTTTTTTTCCTTTTTTGGGTGCACTGCAAATACAAGGGAATTGGGAATGCTCCACACCAGACCTTGACACAGAGTTGTTCAAGCTGAGCAATTTCCAACCAATGGATGCTCATTCATAATGACTACAGGTGAATCTAGGAAAACCATAACCCAAATACCAATTTCCTTGGCTTTTCCACATCTTTTTTACACAACTAAACAGCAATGCTGATCCCTTTTTTTTTTTTTTTTCTTTTTCCAGACCTTGAGCCACTCAGTACCATACCTGCTGTTCTGATGACATTATCGATAACCTCCCTGGGGACTGGCTCATCACTGAGAAACCTGACAGATCTCCTCTTATTGAGAAGCTCGTAAAACGTCTGCGACCTTTTAATCATTTCGGCCTCAGAGTAACGCTCCCCAAAGAAGGGGACATGGGCAACATTTTCCTCAAGTCCTTGCCACTCTTCATCAGCCTCTGCAAGAAAATAGAATTGGTTAGGGAATTTTTTTATTATGATTATTTTTCTGGAGTACACTATTTATATCTTTGACATCTGCAACCACAATGCACTTTGGCCTATTGGCATACATTGCCCTTGTGCTCCACTGGAAAGTCAAAGTCTGAGGTTCCAGTTGACACACCTCATTGATCCCCAGCTCCAGCTACTGAATAAACACTTTGTTTAAATACCAAGAGGCGGGAGGGCCTTGGCTGGCTGTAGCAAGTGTGATCCACAAACAAGTTATGGCTTTCTCCACTTCAGTTTGCAAACCTGCCTGTGAAAAGTTGGCCAACCTTTCATCCCACTTTTCTCCACAAGTAAATACCACCAAGCGTGTTCCTTGCTAAGTAGTCTAACAAGAAAAAAAATGTATTAAATACCTGAAGTTAAGGGCAGAGCTTAACTATCAAGATGTGTAAAATCTCCTCTGAAGAGCAGAATGTCAGTTTCTTCCATATTCATATTTCATAGCAGAAGCATCACAAGCCTGGGCTTTGCACAAATGCAACTTTGTGGTTAAGTTCTTTGGTTTCATGGTACTTTCAGCATAAGAGGAAATGGATGACAGGCACCTATACTTAGGATAACAACATATCAGATGTAGGATATTGTGTTTCTTGTCTTTAATTTAAGACCTCAATATGATTCTCTCCTGCATTCCTAGAATCAGCAGCGATAGTGGTTTTTGAACTATGGTGTGGGAGTTAAAGTGATTTAAATTTTGCATTTTGACTAGTCAATAGTATTGAGCAATCTGGTACAGACAGCTAAGTCAGGAAAAAATACTCTTTTTCAGTCACCATTAGACTATTATTTCAGCAGTCTCCAGTAGAAACTCAAACAGCCATTATTTCTATGTTTTTGTGGTATGTCGCTGTCAGAGAGCAGGTTGACTTCTTGTTCATTTTATAAACAGAATTGAAATATCCGTAAGTGTGGTTTAGCATGTGCAAGAGGCTGCAATATACCCAGCTTCACATGTTGACAGAATGTAAACAGAATATTACTGTGGTCACCAAACAACAGACAAAGAAATAACTCAAAGTATTTTTTTGTTTGTTTAGCATTTCCTACCTGTGTTAAGTGTTCTTGGTCACAGTCTGCAGGCACCTGGCTCCACAGTAATGAGAAGCAGTGACCCAATGTAAATATTATTTTTGTGGGCATCTTGCACACTCAAAATGAAAAAAAAGATTATGCTTCCTTTTGGTGTTGCAGTTTACACTTAGTACATTAGATTATTTGCTATTCAATAGCAACTGGCTAACTAGGACTTGCCCTTTGGATTCTGATAGTCTTCTCTTTCAGAAACTTCCACCCCTCTTTTTTTACTGTTCTCTCTCACTCTCAGTGAAGGGAATACTGCAGGGTTAAAAGGCCATGTTTACACTAGCAAGTAGCGTGGGAGGAAGAGCTTCTGCTCTTCAACACTGAACCCAGTGTTTAACGTCTTTGCAAAGGAGGTTTGCCAAACAGCAGCAAAGGCTGGGGGAAATTTGTGTAATCTCTCTAGTTGGTTTTGAAACACAAGGAGAGGAAAGTCAAGTAGGTGGTAAACCATCAATACATACATGAACACTGAAGGACAGAAGGATGAAGAGGAAGATTAAATTACATATATGAATGAGGACAGTAGTCAGAGAGCTGACTCAGATGATGTATTTAATACAGAGAATGCTGCTTGTGGCCAGTTGAGTGCAGAGGCCTAGACAGGAAACCTGAGGAGCAAGCAGTGCCTGTGCAGAAAATTAAATGAAACATGACAGGGAGGGAAGACTGAAGATGCAATAACAACAGCAGTACCTGCTTTGACTTTCCCTGGAAGCATAAAACTAGAAATCAGGCTTCCCAGCTGAAACATCCAATATCTTAAAATAAAATGACGTGCTCTTCTCTTATGCAGTGACTCTCTAAGCTTTGGATTTAGTGAGAGAGAAGGATGTTATTTAAACAAAACAAAACAAAGTGCCCCTAAACTGAGATTATCAGTTCACTCAATATAACTGACTAAATGAAAGGATAAGGAAAAGGAAGTCTCTAACGGTGGTTCTAAATTTTCAAGGGAACAAATGGAAATTAAGAACAATTAAGTTGGAGAACTCAGACTGAAAAATTCAGGGATCAGGAAGCAGAGATGTTTGGCTTTTCTTTAAATCAGAGGTATAAGAATAATCTTAGATGTAACTGGTTGAAAAACATCTCAATTAAATGATCTATAGGCAACTGGGAACAGAAAAAAGGGATTTGTTAACACAGTAACCTACACCGTGTAAGTCAGAAAGCATAAAACTTGCAGTATTACCTAAGGCCAAGCTGTGTTAAATTTTGTGAGGTTTGCTTGCTTATTTCTTTTTTTTTTTTTTCCCCGAGTGGAATAGAAGAAAATAAGTGAAACTGCTGCGTGGTCTGAATGGTTCAACTTCACAATAACATGATGAAAAAAGAAAGGTACTTTCAAAGATGTTGAGCATGGGACAAAGATGAGGTGAGCAGTGTGAATGAAAGTATGAGAAACACCATATCTGAGCCTAAGTTTTGTAAGCAAAACTTAAAAACCTTACTACACTCAAAATGGGGATACTGGCTGATTCAGAAAACAACCCAGAACTGAGAGAACCAGCACACAAACCCAAAACCGTCCTGAAAATTATTTTTTAAAATAATAAATTAATCTATTATTTGTTATCTTCCGTCATATGTCTGCTATTCATTCTTTGCAGCTAACATTAACCATATGCTAAGCCAAAAGTAATTATCGGCACCATCTGGTTTGTGCATGTTCTCTGTAGCTTTAATTGCTGGGTTTGGACATAGTCCTGTTTTTGCCATCATGTTATACAGTACTACAAATGTCTTGTTTACATCTTTGTGTGTTCCATCATTTCGTGGACAACAGACATCCTACTAGTCAGTCTATGATCTTGTTAGCCACATCCTCAAGATTGCTGTCAATTCTGTTGTACATTTGCAATAGTCATCAGGCTTCCTCCTTTCTAAGCAAATATGAAATGGTTTTGGCTCAGATATTCAAAGTGAAATCTCATTTTAAAAGTGCTATTTCTCTATCAGAAATTTCTGGCTGGATATATTTTAGGATGATGTTTGTGTTCTTCCCAGCAGTTCATATGGGGAGCTATAATTAGCCCACAAATAATGTAATATATTTTTTAGCAAAAACTGACACTGATCACTGAGAAACTTCATTTGCAACCCATGTGTTTTGCAATGTGTTTGATTTCCAAACAGCTCTTTCAGTTTTTTCTCTAAGGAATTGCTGCCTAAGCATAGACTTCCTCTCCAGTCCAATTTTCCAGTCTAATGCCATGATGCATAGGAAAACAGCTACATTTATATAAAGATAGCTTTCAGATTTTTTGGACTTAAACTGCTGGGCAACTGACCCTGTCAGGTCTTCTTCTTGATTAATAGCAGACTACTACATAATCTGCCACTACAGGCATCCCAGTAGTGAATCCAGTCCTGTACTGAGTGTGTGACTAATAGGGAACTAAGAGAGATGGAGTGTCTTACTACTGAGTTATAAATAGTGGTTAGCAGGCTGATCTTGGAAACCTCAAGAGCTGGTCAGGGATCTTAAGCAAAAGCAGTATCAAGTGGAAGAGGCAGATGCTGGAAGAAAGAAGCCAACATCAAAATATAGTAAAGATTATCTTAAACTGGAACACAGCTGCAGAAGTTTTCCTGAGATGTTGAGGAATGGAGTAACTTTTATAAAGAGAAGATTTGCTGGTTTACCTAGTAAAAGGAAAGCTGAGAGGTAATGTGACTGCTGCCTATAAACCACAGGAGGGTATACACCAGGGCTGGAAAAGCATCCTTTAAACTAACAAGAGTATTAAATACGCTTGGGCTGGCATAGGAGGATTTTTAACCCATAGCACGAAATTCTTAAATACCCTTCCAGCAAGGTTATAGAAATGGGGTCAAAAAAGGCCAGTTTTCATGTTTGCTCAGCTGATGACAAAGGCTGGAGGTGTCTGCAGCAGCAGAGAAATAAACACAATGATGCACCATGTCCATGTAACTCCTGTGTTCCTAAATGACCCAAAGCATGAGCTGTCATTGAATTGGAAAATTAAACTGTTGCTGCCTCATTCATGTCAGCAGTATTTTTAAAAGTTATGTTAAGCCTTTGAACTTGGGAAGTGGAGAAATGTTTCTAAGTGGGAGAGGTCTAATATTAGAAGAATCAAAAGCAATGAGCAGAGCATTTTCAGAAGAGGTAGAACATTTGGGCTGAGGTACATTGTTTTGTAATCCTTAAGTACATTACCCACAATTAAATATGTAGTAATAAAATACCTTTACTATTAATCTCTGCAACTGATAACCAGAGTAACAAGGATACAAATATAATTCATCTTCACCCTCCACACCACTATAAACTGAGTCTGTATTCAGCTTAGCCATTAAATTTATCTGAATGTATGACCACAAAAGTGACAAATACACAGTAAGCTTACTGAGCTTAAAACTGAACTTGTCTTTGCAACAGTGCAGATCTAACTGTGTAAACCTGAAGCAGTGGGAGATGAGGTACCAACACTTTGGGATCAGATGTCCACCACTGGAAGAGAGTCCTTGTGACTCATTGTTCAAGACAAGGCTGAAGAAGCATCTTTTTTCATCTGTATCTAACAGATACTCACACATGGCCTAATGGAGGCCATGGCCAGATATACACAGGCAAAAAACATTCTTGCCAATCCACACACAACAATCTCTTATTCCAGCTGTCATAAATGAAGGAAAAAGTTACAGGGCAGACAGGTGTGCAAACAAATCTGAAGTACTGCCAGCTAAGGCATTAAACAAATGGACTGAGTTAATGCTTTCCACTTAACCACAAAGCTAGGTTTCTGGCTGCTCTGAGAAGCGTCCTTCAGCTGCCAAAAACATAACATGGACAAGCTCAGGAGCACTTGGCCCTCTACCTTCTGCCCTTCACTGTCAGTAAGTGACTCTACTGCTTCTGACCAAGCAGTTCAGCTAATTGCACCTTATGCTTTGCTGCTCAAAAGTATTGCCCTCTCAGGGGAAACTTCTCTGGCAGTGCCACTTGAGCAAAGGTTGATGGGACTGATGATGCCTGAATAAGTTCAGTACTTTTCTAAATGAGCACTTCACACTCTTGGCAAAGCGCTCTCACTTCGGTCATGGACACGTATCCAAGACTTGGTTTTCATCTGCCTTTTCCTCTTATGGGGCTCTCCAAAATTCAACTTGTTTACCTATAGTAGCCCTAGATTCTAGCCTTAAAAATGCTAAAAAATGCTTCATACCCTCCTAAATAAAATTCTCCTTAGAGGAACTTTGTGTTTAAATACAAGTCAGCTTGAGATGTTTAAGTAGAAACAAGCTTTTCTGATAAAGACAATTTGGTAAAGCAGTAGAATTTGCACAGCAGGTAAAATATTCTCTATGATTAAGAAAATCTTTGTATAGATCCATGTTTGCATTTCAGCTTTTTCCAGTCAGTGAAACTTTTAACACTGACAACAGGATGGATATGTTTTGATACTCAATTATGGCATTGGCAGAGTAGCAGATCCTTACCAAGGTGGCCATATTCTCTTTTCACTCAGGCTGGGTTATCCCCTGCTGAGGAAAAGCTTCCCCAGGCATGACTATTTTAATTTTTCTGGAGATAAAAGACATGCCTGTTTTGCAAGGATATTGGTTTTGATCCACATAGTATTAAGAGAAAGATGATTATTTGTTGTCAAAAGCAACATAGCAAAAAAGCCTAATTTAATGTTGGATTGCATAGTACACTGAGAGAGGCTTTCTTTACAAATAAATAAATCTCCTTTCAGCAAGAGCACAAACATACCTATCTACCTGCCAGTTTTTGTAAGCTATTTGAAACTAGTATGGTTTTGAATTCAGCACTTGAATAAAAAGGAAACAACTAAAACAACTAGCATGATATATATGAGCTGTGGTGATGAGGGTCCTCGTTAAAAGTTAATAGGTAGTTAATTGTAGTCAAATTGTAATAGGTAGTTGTAATAGGTAGTTGTAATAGGTAGTCAATAGTAATAGGTAGTTAATTGTGGTAGTTAATTGTAGTCAAAGATGTCACTGTCAATTCACAGTTTATCACTTGAACTACCCATGGGAATTTTAATTTGCAGCATTTACTGAACTAGTAAGATATTAGTGACAAAGGAAATACAGGATAGCTTTATATAGAAACTATTTTTCATTGTACAATGGAGGATAGAACATACCAACTGATTTTTAAAGAATTTTGTATATTTGGGAAATAGTCAACATGATTTAAAAGGTTCCAAGTATCTACTATTTCTGGAAACTGATACACCACACTAACTCAAACTACACTGAACACTGAGAAACAAAGAGAAATAATGGTTCTTAGAAAAAGATACATGTGCAGAAGAACAAGCTTCCTAGAAGTGGACTTTGGCAATGTGTCATTATGGGGCAAAAAAAAACAAAACACAAAAAGCCTTTGAAACCAGCTTGGAGTTAAAAAAAAGGCTGTATTGACTGCAAGTTTAAAAATTTCATAGGAACAGAACTCTGTAGATTTTTGTTTCATAAGGAAATGAAGGGAGTCTATGGAGAATAGTTGAAAAATGTACATTTTGTGCTCAGACTTTTGCCCAAGCTGTACATCAGAAATCACTACTGTAAAAAAATGTGTTCTGCAAAGGTTCAAATACACAGCTGAGTGAACAGAGATAAGCACCATTACCGCTTTTTGTTCTTAAATATTTGTTCAGCACACCTTGCAGATGATACTAGTGCCTATCCAGCTAAAGCTGTCACGTACCTTCACGCAAGTCACAGGAAGAGGACTTTGGTAACAACTGTCACAAACTCATTTCCAACTTTTCTGGGAGTGCTGAGAACACGTGTAGCACTTGACAGTAAAGTGGGATGAGATGTTCATAAAATCACAGCTTGGAGATAGAAACTCTCTGCTTGGGTCTTCCCTTTACTCTCACTAATGAGGCCTGGGAAGAGACCAGGGGGCCTTCAGTGGTATCTCCTGCATTTCTTCTCCTATATTCCCCGCAAAGTTCTTCATAGGTCTGAGATCTGCTGGGCTGAGGAGCGGAAAGTGGTCTTTGAAAACACACTTTTGTTTTGCCCTCTGACCTGTGGTATCTGGAGGAAATAGAGATTTACACCAAGACAGCCTTCTTCCATAGAGCTGAAAAGCTCATGACATAGCAGCAGTAGCACTATGCATTTCCATTACTGTGGAAAAGTCAAGAAGATGACATCTTCTTTATTTATATCAGCAGATCAAATTCAAACAACAAAACTGCTTAGATGGGTAAGATTTTTCTTACCTTCTTCCTCTAAGTGTTGATCAGTGCCGTCTTTTAAATCTTCATCCACCCATGGGTGAGACTTGCTTTCAGTCCCACGTTTTTCCTTCTCTCCATTAGTCTTCTTCAGTACTACCCCAATGAAAACACATATAATGGCTATAAAGACTGGGGTTAGGGAAGAAAAGAGTGCCATGACTATGGAAACGTGGAGCCTTCCTTCCAAGTTCAACTGTTTCTCCTGAAAATGAAAGAATGAAAGGGGGAGGGCAGTAAGCAGAAAGGGGAGGACCCAAGGCTCAGACCTTGACCCTATCCTGCTTCTACTTTTCAGCCACTGCCCCCACGGTCTCATCTGTGTTGTGCTGCTACTGTTAAGCAGACCCAGATTTTTATAATTTCTGGAAAGATGCTGCTTAAAAGCAGCAAGTTGAGGCATTGACAATACACAAACCTATAAATCCTATCGGCTGCAAAATAAAATCTTCAAAAACGCCAGACTAGCACAAAACACTTCTCCCCTTTATTTTTATCATCAGAGTAATCCCAGTAATCTTGCTTGAAACAATAATTATGAGAAAAAGCCAAGTAGGAAAGTGACTTTTAAAAACTGGCAGCATCTCTTCAATATATACCTCCTCAAATTTGTCATATTACATGTATCCCAGGAAATCGGAATATCACCAGTTGAACAGCAGCTGTCAGCACTGCCCTTGGCTGCATAAACAGGTCAATAAAAGACGTAACTAAAGTGGCAGCATTACATCCTCGTGCAGCATGAATGAGATGATTCACAGAACTCTCTATTCATCTTTCCTGTTCTGGGGGCAGAAAAAAAGAAGAATTCAGGGAATCAAAACAAGAAATATTTGAGGGTTGAAAATCTGTGCTGCAGTGAATTTTAAAACTTCATTTCAGCTATCTTAGGAAAGACTAAAAAGTCATAGGATCCTGGTATAATCCAAGAGTGGTCAATGTCTAACTGCTTAACCCAGTTTTTTTACCTCAGCCAGCTACTTGGGAATTGAATTAATGCAGCTGCACTGAACCCCTGTTTCTATCTGGGACTGTTGGGATATACCAGAAAATGAAATGTCAGATGGTAGTGGGTGATGGGGGGTGTGCTGGAGAGCAGGGTACAGGGGTACTGACTGCATGCAGCCACTAGCACCCATCAGCCCCTTTTAGTGCCAACTAAGCATCAGTCCTTCCAAGCCTTATCTCACAGGGTCAGCTCTGAATTCTCTGCATCCACGACAAGTTAATCTGCATTTTGGATAAGCCCTCCCCAGGATAAGTGGGAGCAGCCCGTGGCTATAACCACTCCAGGAGGTGGTGTCCTCAGGGCCCTGGCATGCCACACACTGCAACTGGCACCTGCTGGAGGGCATTGCACATCTCACCCAGGGCATCCCCTGTTTTCTTGATGTAGAAACTGGGGTACACAGGGAGAGAGAAGAAGCTGGGTTATGCACAGGTTTCTTTCTCCCACAGGGAACATATTCTTGTTAACCTTGAGTATTCACATACATGTAAATTAGGATCTGGATGTTTCACAGCTGAAAATCCATCCTGCAGAGAGACAGGTGCATGCTGAAAGAGTGAGAGAAGCAATACAGAAGGTTAAATGCTATTGTTTAAAATAACTACCTCTATTTGCAATGTTGGAAACTTCATAATTTCTCACTCTTCTGAAGTAACTTTGACTTTCTTAGAGGAGACAAGATATTATTTTTTCTCTTGTAGAGCAGAGAAAGAAAGCAAGCTAAATAAAAGTCCCCTTGGCATTACCTTAAGCAAAATCTATATTTGGTATTATATAGTGAAGATTGTTAAGGTGAACTTCAGCCCCACAGAAATCCCACAATACCCTGTATTATTAAAAGGTGATTTAGTTTCAATAACTCCATACCATAGACATTCAAAACATAAATATAGTGATGCTCTGAGGACCTGTGGGAAGGAGTGGGTGGAAGCAGTCAATTTTTGTATGGTAGATTTTAATCATTTTTTTTCTAAATGCATTGTTGGATTTTCTTCAATTCAAGCATCATGTAAATGTAATTATTCTTACTAGCATGACAAATCAAATAACTTATGTTACCAGTATTTCTTAGCCTAGCAGCTGGAGTTTTGGAGTTGGTTTATTGGTTGCTTTGGGTTTTTTTCCAAAAGTCAGGAGAAAATATCCCATTCCTAGGAATTAATGAAGATTTTCTGACAGACTTAAAAAGAAGCTAGAAAAAAAATTGATAGAAGTATAACTTTTAAGAACACAAAAGTACTCTAGTATTAATGCACAAAATCCCTGTATACACTCTGAAAAGATACAGACCACCAAAGATACAGATACGAAAAGCTTTTGAGCCAAAATTCTTTCTTTGACATTTCCCATAAAATTCTATGTGTATTTGTTGTTCTTTTGAAAACAAACAGACAAAAAAAAAACAAACCAAAAAAAACCCACCAAAACTCAAGTATCAAATATGGCCCTTTATTTTTCTCAAAGCAGATATGTGACAAGCTGGTTTCATTTACAGGCTACAAGGAATGCCTTCACTGTACAGTGCACGGTTAACTTCGCACTAAGCTCATGTGACTCCGCTTCTGAGGGTGAATACACTACCTGAAAAGAACAAAGCTACCTTTCAGAACTCAGCCACGAGCTTTATGTCATGCAGCTCCACCTCTGCTTTGATTATTCCCCACTGGCTCTTCCCATCATTCCCATGACCTTGGCATACCCCTCTCATCCCGCTTGGAGGAGGCTACAGCATTACTATGAGTTAGCCTCATGGCTAGGCTAGAGCAAGTGTCTCTTGATGAATTCTTCTGCGCATATGGGGTCTAACAGAAGAGCTACACAAAAGATGCAAATCATCGAAGAGCCTTCAAACGCACAAATTATCAATGATCATATTGTCTGTACAGGGTGCATGTGGGCTACTCACATGCACAGAGGTAGAAGGGAAAGAGACTGTGAATGGCCAGGGAGAACCAAAACCACCAGTCCCCACAGTCTTTCTCACCCATGTTTTTCTATCAGTATTTTATTGGAGAACTCTTTAAGACTTCATAAGCGTGCTATAGGAAACCAGTAATGTCTAGACATTCAAAAAGGGATTCAATGCATCTATTCACATTTGATTAATGATCAAAGCCACAGTGTGACAGTTAAAACACCTAATATAGGATATCTCTTAACCTTCTGACTGCTGAGACTTGGGAAAATACACAGAAGAAGGGACAGTTTTGTGCAGTCCTTGGACTTCTCATTTTTCCTAGTCATCTACCTTTGGACATGGAAAAACACAGGCTGTAGCCCCAGATGGCCTCAGATGGCTAGGATTTGGTATGAGGATTCTTACTGCAGTCAAAGCCAGATCTGTGTAAAGGAGACCAGCAGTAGAAAAAGAAGAATTCTAAGAGGGAATACACAAGAGAGCAGAGTAGGATGGAAGAGGTTATTGCAATAAATACAACACAAATCTGAGAGAAAGCATGTTTTTGGTAGTTACTACAGTTACAACTGTACATGTCTCTCACTGAACATTACCTTCAAGGAACATGTGCACTATTTGTGCTACCAGTCAGTGCATAAGCCACTGTCAGGACTTTTAAGCTATATATGGTGGTGAAAGCATCCACACAGACACCTTGCTGTGTTCATAGTTAGAAGCAGGGAAAAGTATTGTCTAGGGATGCAATTAAACATTACACTGGCATCAGAGGTAGATGTGAGTTTCAGATTGAAGTGGCTATGTATTGAAAAACCAACAAAGACGACTATTGAAATGCCATCCATGATCAACCTCTAATTCAGTGTATGCCTGCTATGAGCAAGGCAGAAGCACTAATTTCCTAATCAACACAGAGACAAATGTCTGGGATTAGCTGAATTTTATACATCACCAAGTATTGGCATTACTAAAAATATTATGAGCTTGATAAGCATCTTCACCTCTGTCATGTATCTAGCACATGCCTTCCTACCTCTGTCAGTGACCAGCAGGCAGTGCTTCTCAGCAAGGTGACCCTCACTTTTCTGCTGCCTCTTGCTTCTTCTGCCCTCCACACTTACAACCCGCTCCTTCCCTTCCCCCGAGTCAGCTGTCTGATCTCCTTATGACCCCTGGAGATATCAAGTATCATGCCCTGTAGCATTAGATTTTATTATCTTTTTCATTAACTTAGCTCAGATTGCCACAAATGTTATTACTGCTTATGGACTGGCCTTTTGAAATCTAACAGTACAGTGGGTAACACAATTACATCCCATAGCAATGAAAGCCAGAGACAACAATGCACAATACAACAGAGTAATTCTTTCCATTTTTCCTCAGTATACCACCCTTCATTTGCAAGCTCCTTCCATTTATATGTTACAAGGCAGAAGAAATAACCTATTAATAGACAACATGATTCCTTAATATCTTTCTAAAAAAAAGAATCAATTTATTAGGATTTGTGGTACTAGATAATTCATTACTCATGCCCAACGGGACACTAGTGGTCCTAAAAGTATGTATGATTTCAGAAAATAACAGACCAATTTACTTCCAGATTCATATCAGAAGGAGCAATTTGCTACTTACTGCTGTACCAATGTTACCACCATGAACTTGTAGGAGTGAGTTTACCCATGGCAGCAGCCTGGCAGATATTAAAGGTACTGCTCATTGAGGCAAAGCTGCACGGCTGAGTTCACACAAGCTCACTAAAATTTTCAGCTCTCTAAACAGAAATCCTGAAAACATCACTGAATTTACATGAAAAACCACCAAAGGTCTGCAGATAACACAGGCCTTGAAAGTTATTTACCCCACCTATGGAGATACATAAACACATAAATCCAAAATATTATTTTTTCCATAATCACTTTTAGGCATAGATTCATAATAAGCATTGTTAATATCTGTTCTGTGAGGACCACTAGGTTACCTTTGATACCAGCCCCCAGGGAAAAGCAAGAAAAAATAAAGGGCCATTTCTGAATAGCCACGTGGTAGGTGGGAGAGTGCAGCCTAATAGATGGGGCTACAACCTCTTCAGAGTAGGGGTGTTTAGTGAAGAGGAATGTGGGGTAGCAATGTCCCCCTCCCAGTATCCCGCAAGCTGAGAGTAATCTCTTCCACATAAAATATCACAGCAAATTAATTCCCTCCATATCAGGCTGAAGAGGGGAAGGCAAAGGCA